CCTGGCAGGTCTCTTCTCTCGTGAGTGCCAGCCATCCAGCCCCCCTGGTTGGAGGGAATATGTCAACCACTGGAGTGTGCTTGCCACATTTCAGGACCATCCCAACATCACTTCCCTTCCCTGTTCTACTCAGTGAGTCCCAGTCAAATGACTATGAGACTACCTCACAGGGGACGTCTTCTTCACTGAGAAGGGTCAGCCCTGTGCTTGTGGGTGCTGTGAGTCATTTGGGCCATGAGATAACAACTGAGTTCCCAGACCTGAACCAGGAGACATGTTACCATCTTCCCTTTGCCTTTGATGAGAGTGGATCATGGCACACCCCCCAGGGATTTGATCATGAGCTAAGGAAGGGGAGATCTGATGTCTTCTTTATGAATGACAAACTGGCTCCGTCCCATAATGGCTGCACAGGGGGAGAGAGGAGGCAGCAGCCCGACTTCTGCCCCTGTGTAGTCCCTGCACTCTGGTCCTCACTAGCCTCTTGGGAGGATGGAGTTTCCCCTGGGGGTAGCCCCTGAAATGTCACACTGGGGAGTGCACAATAGCAACAATGGGACACTGAGCTGGGCTGCTGGCAGGGCGAGACTCAGGGAGACTGACTCAGGAGAGCCGACCCCTCCCAGAAAGGACAGCACCCCCGCAGACTGGCAAGTGTGTGTGCAGGGACCTGCGGTCTCATCCTGGGCCAGCACAGACCAGCAGCACAGTGCTCCTGAGCCTCTGCTCTCAGGAGGGGGCTGCCCTGAGCCAGTGTGGGGCCTCCTAGAAACCTGCCCTAAATGAAAAAAAATTACCTGGAACCTCTAATAAGTCTCAGATAGGAGATGTGGTATGTTTCCTGCCCCAGGTGCCTGTGGGGGGCCTGACCCCCTGTTGCGCCTTGGAGCTCAGAGGTCATGCCTGAGGTCCCAAACAATGCAAGTGTCCACAGTACCTGCAGCCTTCCACCTGCCCTGGTTCCCTGAAAGAGAAAGTAGGATTTGTTTTCTCAAAAGATAGTGGAGCTGGATTGCACTGCCTCCCTGAAGGGCATGTCACTGAGTATGCCGTCATCTGAGGAGATGTGAACTGGCAGGTGCTGCCCTGGGTTACTGCTGCACCTAAGTCCTGGGGAGCGGGTGCTGCCCTGGTTACTGGTGCACCTAAGTCCTGGGGAGCGGGTGCTGCCCTGGTGCTGCCCTGGGTTACTGGTGCACCTAAGTCCTGGTGAGTGGGTGCTGCCCTGGTTACTGGTGCACCTAAGTCCTGGGGAGCGGGTGC